AGTGTCACTGGTCCAAATACCACACACACACACACACACACACACACACACACACACACATATATATATATATATATATAGGTTGAAAACTATAATATCAGTGCAATGGTTAAAGTCTAATTAGAGAAATATCCTCAAAATAGATGGTGAAATTAGTTTTGGCTGACTGCATGTTGTAACATTGTTACAACATTGTCTGTTGAAATTTATGTTTATGTTTCACTACAAGTCTTGCACCCATACTACCTTTATTTGTTATGTTATTTTAACTGTTAAATCAAACCAATCAAGGCTTTCAAAACCGACATCTGAAATCATTTCTTTTATTCTATTTTTGTTAAGATTTTACTATGATCACTGTGGACGATACTCGATTTCTATATCACTTTATTACTTGAAAAATACGATATTAGACCACATTATATACTTGATTTATGGTTCCTCTTATCATATGTCTGTGGGTGTATAGAAACCACCAACCAATATCAACATTAATGGGGTGCACTGAGATCAATTCCCTTATAAACCGTAATTCATGAGTGAACATGAGATTAAAAATGATCAAGTATTTAGATCTCTTCTCACATTTCTCATTATAACTTTCATTCCCACACGATTTTCCCCTCATTACGCATACACAAGTCATAAACCTATCTAAATGAATGTCTCTTTTTGTTAAATACAAAGTCTTTTCTTTTAATAAAACAAAGTAACTTTAATACTTTTTGTTAATTACAAAGTCGTTTTGTAGAGTAATCATCATTCTATGACATTTTATTTTCAAAAGAATTAATATCCAAAACTAGGGGATCGTCTATCAAAAACTTATCGTATAAGCGTTTTTCCAAATCACGTTATCTTATCTGATTAATGTGATAAGAACTAAAAATCTTACTCGGTAAGAGCGAGACAAGGACTAAGGGACCATTTACTGAACGCTTACCCGGTAATTTTACTCACCGGATGAACATGACAAGGGCCAAAAATCTTACCCGGTAAGAGTGATGATATAGATGGAGAGTTTTACCCGATAAGTGAGGGTGACGACTCTTACCCGGATAAGCGCTTACCAGGTAAATTGTTGCATAAGAAACATTTTGATATACTACAATCTTACCCAATTAAATAAATTATAGTGTTGATTCATAATATTAAACACTTATCGGGTAAGCATTTAGGTAAACGGCCCCTAAGATCTTACCCGGTAAGCAAGTGATAGTGTTTACCGGTAAATGCTTACCGTATAAGTGTTTGGTAAACGGCCACCAAGTTTCAACGAATTTTCTGAAACCAAATTTAAATTAAATCCCACATACTAATTACCTCCTTTATCGTCATAACTTATCCGTTCTCTACCGTTATCAGCAGTCTTCTACAAGCCACAAAACTACAAAAGTGTCAAAACAACCAAAATCTTTCTTCCCTCAATTTTTCGTAGTAGGCACAACCCCCCAACTCTACCTAGAATAACTCGATCAGTGTCATGTCTAACATGGTCCATGTACAAATCTATCTAAACATATGGATCTTTATAGAGAATTAGTTCAAAATCACAGTTAGAAAAATACAACTTATCCCTGTTGGGTCATCTAGTGACCTAGAAATACTTTGTCTCATATACCGGTGTTCTAACACAATTATCACCTTAATATACCTACACGGTACTCCATGTTCTACAGACTCCTCCAAATCACGTTACGTGGTATATTTCCCAAATCTAGAACATATCTATAAGTTATTGGTACGTTATGTTATGTGTTTTTTCTAAAATAGGAACTAATATCTTTTGTATGAGAATAAGAAAAACCATTTTAGTTTTTAACCGTTTAAAATTATGTAATATAATTTTAATGCTAACATCTGTAATTTGATTTTATCTAAATATATATTATAAGTTACAATAATAATTAAAAGGAACTGTTTTATATTCAAGTTATGATGACAATAATTAAAAGAAATTGTTATATTAATGTCAAAAGTCAAGATATTGGAAATAATGAACGTAAATAATTAACAAAAGAAAATGACATGTGCCACTCGTCCAATCATTTCATGCCAATGAGGAAAAAACCATCAAACTCAAAATCCACGTACACCTTCCAAATTCGGGTTTTTTATGCTACGAAACGTGTTACACATGAATATTGTCAAGTAGTATACAAATCTTTAGAGTTGTATATTAAAAAAATGTTTGCCTCTGTTTTTAAAAAGCTAAATTAAATCATGTTAAATATTGAAATAATTACTCTTGAAGGATAATTATGATTTTTATTTATTAAAGTACAATTATGATAATTGTAGGGTGTTATATGTAAATATGTATAATTATATTAAAGTTTAAGTTAATTATATAATTATTACATATAACTTCTAAAACCTTATTTGAGTTTTGAACTCAGGATAAGACATTACATATAAATAAGGTGATAGGTTAAAGTAAATTCAGATATTGTATATTTTAGATTTAGCTATCAGAAAAAATACAGACGATAAACCTATTCTTTTTTTGTAAAACACATGTTAGATATAGGGTTTTGGGCTAGCACCAGCAGAGGAATTCTAAGTAGATATCTAGGTGCTCCATCAGATCTAAAAGAAGCCCTCTAAAACATCGATCCTATGGTTTATTTGAGATTTCTTTTACAAGTTATAGGATCTAGCTATGAGGTATAAGTTTTAAAAAAGCTTTCTAAATTATATTGTAACAAAAATAATTTTCCGTTGCGTCCTATTTCGGGTGCTGCCTTTACACCGGTATGAAAATAAGCTGCTACTAAAATGAAAATTTTTCCCCTCGAGGGAGTGGTTATTTGTATCCCGTATGGAGCCATCAGTCTTCGCACGACATGCGCACTTGCTCAAAAAAACACAAATATCGGGTCTTTAATATACTTGAATAATAGCCGCTAAGTGACCTAAAACATGTCTTTTTATATTGGCGTTTTTTACAGACAGGTTTCATATGGAACCGATTGGGGTTAACAATAATAATTTTTACTTAAATATCAATTGTTGAAATTGATAATCCACAAACAAACCGATATGTAATGCTATCAACAAATTTGATTGTTTAGGTCGTAACTAGATAATTCAACTTGAACCATATAAATCAACGCAGAGTAATTAATAAATGGCAACTTAATTGGGAGCTCATTTAAGGGTTATTTACCAAACACTTATCCGGTAAGCGCTTACCAGTAAAATTTAACACTATTATTTACTTACCGGATAAGATTTTAGTCTATCAAAACGGCATTGTATGCAACAATTTACGCGGTAAACGCTTACTGTGGTAAGAGTCGTCGTCCTTACTTACCGGGTAAGACTCTTGGTCCTTCTCTCGCTCTTAACGGGTAAGATTTTTGGTTCTTACCATATTCATCTTGTGAGAAAATGTTTACTTGGTAAACGTTTGGTAAACGACCCCTTAAGCAGGTTAGAGTCATAACAACTTGTCTTTAAATAAATAAAAAATGATATGATAGTTGTGAGTAATTTCATTTATATAAACTATAAGTTATGGCTACCAGTAATTTAACGTATATTTTCAAGTTACTCTAAGATTTTTTAGTTATTATTGATTTAGATTTCAGACTTTATAGTAAACTAATTAAATTATTGGGAGGAATTCAAAACTCACGTTTTGACCTTACGAAGTGCGCGCGCAAATATCAAACTTTTGTTAGACAAGACCGATATTTTTATTGATTGATTGTTGCAAATAGGGAATGATAGGGAAGTTTATGGAAGCTAGCGATAAGAAGCATAGCCCATTTAAAAATGGAACTACTGTATGATTGCAATGATGCTGAAGAAAACAATGAACTCGTCTCCTTTCTCTCCACCAATTAAGTCATGAAGCAAAATCAACAACTTATTGAAGGCCGAGTCACTAAGATTGAAAAGATGAATTAAACGAATTTGTATTTAAATAAAAGAATGACGTGTCTTAATGAAACCAGTTATCTACGTAAATATTGTGCCAAGAATCAACCTTCAACTCATGCATTCAAAATATATATGTATTTATTTTGCATTCCTTAATTATGAACATAAATGAACTTTTTGCATGTAAAAAGAAGTAGAAAGTAGAAAGAGGATGATACCAGTATGAGCAAAAATGATGACAAAATAGTGTTAGGGGCTGTTTGTTTTCTAAAAAAAACCTCTTAATACCCTCTGAAGTCTGAATCGGTCAGACCTTAGGGTATTAAGGGTGTTTGTTTTTTCTTTCAATTAAGTGCTTAAAAACTCTGATTATGTCTGAATTATTTAGAGGTAAACTAAACACTGAAAACCTCTTATTTTGGGATTCGCCTACCTGCTCTCTCTAACCTCTCCATCGCCGCAGGTGCAAGCTCTCGATTTCTCTCAAGCGATTTCTCTCAAGCTCTCGATTCCTCTCAAGCTCTCGATTCCTCTCAAGCTCTCGATTTCTCTCAAGCTCCGATTTCTCTTTCAAGCTCTCGATCTCTCTCTCAAGCTCTCGCCTACCGTCTTCTACCTCTCGATCTCTCGATTTAAGGTATCCATCTCGATCTCTCAAGCTATCTATCTCTCGATTTTCTTTCTGTTTTGCCTGGTTCAAAAAAGGGTTTAGGGTTTACCTCCTATAAGGGGTCCGATAARAAGAAGAAAAAATACTAAAAATCATACCTTAAACGRTGGTTTGGTTGTGAAAATCAAAGTAAAGAACCAAGAGATGGAAAGGGATTGAGTGATTTAGACCGATTGAACGATTTAGCTATTAGGTTACAGCGAGATAGAGATGTTTGTGTGTGTATTGGAAGCTGGAGGCATGAAGGTTTGGTTTTCTAATGATCATTAGCGAATTCATTAAGACCAATTGGCCATTTATTAGTGATCAAGATACAAGGAGGTACTTTGAGCAGTGGGCTGATGTTAACACATAGTTGTATAATATATACAGGGGTTTCTCAGTGATAGAAGTCGGATTAACCATAGACATTTGCATAACGATCCTTCTCCTAGTAAATCCCTCCCAGGCTGCTAGCACATCTACTTCAAACAATCCTTCTCCTAGTACCATAAGACATCGAGGACATGGTGGTGGTTCAGTCATTAGGACTCCTCCACATGTTTCAGATGATGATTTATCAAATATACTTGCGATGGCTGAAACCGTTCGCGAAGTGCTTCCCCATGTTCCTGATGAACTAATATTGCGGGTATTGTTCCATATAGCTTATTGAAGTTCTTTTTTCTGTTACCTTGAAAAGTTAGTAGAAAAGGAGGGCGGGTTTGATGGATTGGTTTGAATTGAATTGTGCAGGATTTGCAGCGAACGAATTCTGTTTCGGTTACTGTGAATAATCTTCTTCAAATATAAGTGGGTAGCAATTGAGTGAAGTAATAAAGGAAAAAACTAGTACTSATAATGCTATAGTTTGTACATACAAAGTGTCAAAAAATTGTTGAAGTAAAACTATAGCCCATTGAGGTTTAGAGATGGAAACTTGTATGATTCTTATGTTTGGTGCAATAATGATGATGATGTTTTATTACGGTCCATGTGCTAGCAGCCTGGGAGGGATTTATAGGCCACAGTTGTATAATATCATCATTTGGTTTGTGCAGGTCAAAATAATGAGGGCCCTCCAGCTGTTTGGTTCGTTGGTCGACGGAAAAGAAGCAGCAAACAGCTGCTGTTTGGTCGCGCATCGGATGGGAACGGTTGCTGTTTGGCAGCTGCCGTTTGGTCGCACATCAGACGGAAACGAGCTGCTGTTTTGGCTTGTGCAGCAGCGGAAGATCAAGCAGCGAGTAGCTGCTGTTTTGCTCGTGCAGCAGCGGGAGATCAGGCAGTGAGTAGCTGCTGTTTACTTCTGACAGACTATACCATGTGAAGACAGCATGGTTTGGGCTGTATGTTTGATCTAGTACAAGGTCTTGGTGCAGGCAATGTTGTTGAAAGTGTCTTGGTTTAAGCATGATTTGGGCTGTATGTTTGATCTACTATGTGATGTTCCAGTAGAATGCCTCATTGGTATCACCTCATTGGCAAATAGGCTTTGCTTTTAATTTCTTTTTGATAATTTTATATCCTGCTAAATGTTGACTACAAAATTCAAGTTGCTTTTAATTCCTATTTTGGAATTTTATATCCTGCTAAATGTGGACTACGTAATTTAAAGCCTACAAGCTTTTTGTGCTTAAAAATGAGATCATTGTAGACATATCTTGATTTAGGTGTTTTATCTTTTCTTGTGTGTTAATTTGATTGGTTTTTCAGATTTCATATATATACACACACACTACTCAAGACAATGAAAATGAGGTGGACTCATGGATTAGTTTTTAGAATTTGAACAAGTTACTTGGTTACGTGTTTTGGAAGTTGAACAAGTTACTTGGTTACGTGTTTTGGAAGTTGAACAAGTTACTTGGTTACGTGTTTTAGAATTTGAACAAGTTACTTGGTTGTGCGTTAAAAATATATGGTAGTTTACAAATGGTTTAAATGATTGGATATTTCAGTTAAATTTAATTGAAATAAATTGATTCAGATTTCAGACTTTAGAAGTTTGTCAGCTAAAAAAACAAACAGTCTTATTGATTCAGATTTCAGACTTCAGACGTAAAAACAAACAGTCTGACTGATTCAGATTTCAGACTTCAGACGTAAAAACAAACAGTCTGACTGATTCAGATTTCAGATTTCAGACGTAAAAACAAACAGTCTGACTGATTCAGATTTCAGATTTCAGACGTAAAAACAAACAGTCTGACTGATTCAGATTTCAGACTTCAGCACCACCTCTTAAAATTCAGAAGTGAATTCAGACTTCAGACTTCAGACTTCAGCACCTCTTAAAAAACAAACGCCACCTTAGTGTCCCGTAAATTTAGGGTGGTGAAACAGTGAAAGCATTTCAATAATTCAATGACATGACATGACAAATGATTAGGAAATTTTTATATGTAAGGAATTTTCTTGACTTGAATAATTATTTCATCCATTAAAATTGGTCTTTCACTCATTCCTGTTTTGGATTTACCCAAGTGTTATTTACGTAAGATATATCCATATACGAAATATTGTGGACCTGGTAAAAGATAAAAAAAAATCAAATTTCATTAGGTTAGCAAGTGGCATTGTCGCAATCACGGACATGGCCGTCGCAATTGCAGACCTAAGTTGAATCTGATAATTTTTTTTTTCTGTCTTTTAGTCAGGTTCGTAATATTATGAATGTAGTGATTTAGGTAAACCCGAAAGATAAAGGACTAAAAGACAAATTTAAATAGATAGAATGAGTATTTGAAATTTTCAATTCTCCATGTTAATTATACTCCTTCAGATTGAAGTGATGGTTTGCACACCCCCACCACATATTAATTTCTTGGAGTAGCTTCTGAAACAACAAAGAACCCATGGTTATAAAGAGAGAGGGGTTCAATCAAGAATAATAACTAAATATAAAAAATAGAAAACGGTTAAGTTATATGTAAAATCATATATGATTTTACATTAATGATCGACTTAAAGGTGTGTGGGTGACGGGGTCTCCTACATCATATTGCAGCCAAAGTCGCGTTAGTGTAAAAACAAATGTGATTCTTCCATTTTCTTGTCTTCTCATTTTATGTATGATCTCATATGAAATATTATATATATATAGTCCCACATATCACATGGACATGCACTTCATTTCTACTGAATTTTCAGCTATACATATCTTCTCCAACCCCATCAAAGTACTTCTTTGCCAAACATGATGTCATTGCTCTTCAGAATTATAGTTATATGTATTAATCTAACCAAACACCATTACAACCAATGTTTTGTAACAACATTAATTCATTCAAGAAATGAAGCTCAATTCTAGGTGTACCAAAAATTCTATCCCTAATTACACTACCCATGCCCAAGCTAGGTGCATGTAATTAGTCAAGATATAGGACAACTTCTGATTTTGGTGCCATTAATTTTTCACATAACCGAACATGCGTTTGGATTTTCGTCACTGAAAAGGGTGGTCAAGCTCTCGGAAGGAGTAGTATCGGGGGCATGAAATGCTTGAACCACATTCTTAACATAGCCAGATGGGGCTTTTTTGTCGTACGCCTGAGGAGCATACGGGTAACTTACAAGATTGTAGGGTATGTATGGCCACATTTCAGCTCTCTTCCCAGTGCTCTTGACTTTCTTTAACACCTTGTTTGGCTCCACATAACCCGTCACTGTTACTCGACTTTGCTTACGGTTTACATCTACCGATTTCACGCCTACATAAAATGAAACCAAACCCATCGTCAATGACAATTATATGGTGTCAATGGTGTGTGTTAACCTAAACTACAAGTTATGTTTTTGATAGATCTAATTAAATTGGAAAGAAACCACGAGTAGGAGGTCCAAATTAAGAGGCATTTAAAAAGAGATCAAACCAATAGAAGATTTACTGATTATTTCAAATATATATATATATATATATATATATATATATATATATATGACCAATTTTGGTAACTAAGATTTAAATATTACGGATATCATCATTATGCGATATATGGTGAAAGGGACACACGATTGAGAATCATTCCCATACGACAAAAGAAATTGATTGATGCCCGAAATAATTGAAAATTGCTAAAATAATTGTTTGTAGCAATTAAGCATATGAAGATGTTAGAGTTTATATCAACTAAACTTAACCTTATCTATACGTCGAACGTTATTCTAAATGAATAAGTGACTTTTTTAAAGAGTAATGTAACAGCTAGCGTTTCTAATATTTTGACACTAAGTTTTCAAAATTTTAAATCTTTAGAAGTTCATCCTACGACTTTTTTCTTAGGAAACAAAAATTCACATGGTTAACGCGGTTTACTGAATCCGAGACCACTGATTGATTAGTAATAACTAGGGAAAAGATAAACTATAGATAACTCCCATTGTATCTTTTACGTCGTGAATTTACTTTTGAACCGATAAGAAACTTACAAGAAAAAGGTCAATTCACGTGCAAAATCACATGTCATTGTACATTAATGGTCAACGCAAGCTTTGCATGTGGTCCACGACCTCATGTTCCGGCCAAAAGTTGCGTTGTGATTTCATTTATGATTCAACCGTTTCGTTATTCTTTTATTTAGTTAATATTCTTGAACGAGCATAATTACTCTCTATGTATATTACAAAAGAAAACATTTGTTTTGTAGATGTAAAGGTGGCTTGATCTCAGCATATACAATTTCTTTTGAATGGATTGCATATATACGATTAATTAGTGGAAAAAAAACATACATTTGTTTTAATTATGAGTTTGTTTGCATGGTTTTATTTTGTTAACTCCAATGCATATTCAGATTAGATATGTTGTATAAAATCCATTTTAAAGCTCTAAAACTACTTCATTCAGTTGAGTATATGAAGACAGAAAGAGTGAGATAACCTGATAGAGAAGAAACAGCATTCCGGACTCTTCTTTCACAGCCATCACAGTCCATCTTCACCTTGATCTCAACTGTCTGAAACACCCAAACCAAAACCAAGATTACTAAATCTTCAAACATTAATACACCCCACACACACACACATATATATACAACACAGACATGTTATAAAAAAGGAGAATTGAAGATGAAGGAAGACGAGACCTCCATAGTTTTGCGTTTGCTGTTTCTTGTACTGGTAACAGAACACAGGTCTGAGATATGATCCAAATAACCCATGTTCAGTTCTTTCTTTTTTTATTGATTCACCAAAGCTTTAGTTTACAAGATGAATTGCAGGTTTTATGTGGGTTGCTGGGGAGTAGAAGGGTTTAATAGCAGGGAAGGAGAGGAAGCTAGGGATTGTTATTTATAGCAAAGAAAGAATAGGATTATAGGAACAGGAAGGGTTGGGAAAGCAAATAGTTGTCAACAAGCTGTGATATATTATTGGAATCTACCCTCTTTTTATAAGGTTTTACTTATGAACTGCTTTCCATTTTCTAAATTTAATATTAAACAAAAATCAATAATTACACCAAAATTATTACTCCTATATATAAATCTTCACTTTCAATTAAAAGATTCCTAACTACATTTCAAATCTATAATTAACTCTTCATAATAATTATCATTATCATTATCAATATATTTTCTAAAATCAATCACATCATCTTATATTTGTAATTAATGTTGATTAAGACATTTATTTTTGTTAAGCTATTTATCTTATCAAATCAAATGGTCCATTTGATTTGAAGCTGAATGCAATTATGTTTAGAAGATTAATTTTTTTTAATTAAAAATTTAAGAAAAAGGAAAATAGAAATGGGGCCCTCATCCAATCATGAGTTGCTAATTCAAAGCCTAAAAATCTGTGTGTAAGCTACCAACCTTAAGAAATTTCTTCTCTAAACCAATTTCAATGATTGAAGCCACCAGGTATTTTCTGTAATTCCGTGTTAATCTTGTGTTTATGGGTTGGGTATTTTCTGTAATTCCGTGTTAATCTTGTGTTTATGGGTTGGGTATTTTTATTTTTTAAGTTATATTTCTCCAACAAAAACTCAAAACACGTTTTATAATCAATCAAGAAACGAGAGGATAATTTTTTTTATTAATGTTTTATGGAAATTGATATTTAGAAAAGGGAAATTATATGGAACTTGGGATATATTTGGATTCATTCTACTCATCAAGAAATATCAGAATCACGAAATTGAAGTTTTTTTTCTATTTAAAATTTTAAAATAATTAAAGATTGTTATTATTGAAAGCCTATTGATTTGATTATAAGTCAATAATACCAAAGGGCCTTTGGCTTAACGATATCGTAGCCCTTGGCCTTTTAGGAGGTCAGGGGTTCAAATCTCATCATAGGTGAGGAAGGTGTGTGAGTCTATTTTTTAGGAGGTCAGGGGTTCAAACCTCACCATAGGTGAGGAAGGTGTGTGAGTTTATTTGTTGCATTTGCCGTATATAAATATGATATACTTCAAAAAAAAAAAAAAGTCAATAATCCAAAATTAAACTCTAATTTTTACTAATGATTCAATTTTTAAGAGAAACCAATTAAAATGTGAGATGCATCATGCATGCCTTCAAATCCTAGAACCCGCGTCTCATGGTGGAACCAGGCGGTTAGCCATGCGCCCAGTTTCTCGCATCAGCCATTGTGGTCCGTCTCACTCCGGTAGCTCCGACGTATATTCCCATGGCTTTACTACCCTCACGTGAAGTTGCCTGCATGTTTTTGGTGTCTAGCCCTGTTTGGAATGCGGCTTATGTCGTCTCACATGTGGCCCGGCCCATTTGGTGCTTGTGAAGCCCTTTTGACCACCAACTGTTTTCTTTCCAATTTGAGATGATATTTTGAACTTATTAGATATAGAAAACTCCCGTAATCCCTCTCTCTAAACTTGGTCTCCAAGTTTCTCAAGAACTCAAGATTTCCTTTTGATTTCTCCATTCTAAAAGCTGAAACTTCTCATTTGTATCATCATCAAAGTGACAGTGGATCAGTTCTCGACGTCCTCCACCCCTGGTTTTTCCTTTTCCAGGTTTCCACATAAAAGTCTTGATGTCTCTCTTACTTATACTTTATTTTGCATTTTATTGGGTTGATTATTATTTACATTACTAAGTGGTTGATTATCTTATATTCTCAATTGTTATTCCAAGTAGAATCTTGACATAGAACTTTTTTTATTAACTTGGATACCAAACCTACTATGCAAATCGACTAATTCCAGGACGACCATCCGCTTCGCGGGTAGTTCAGAGTCACCGTATTTGAACCTCCGTGGTCACTAGAGATTTTTATTTCTCCTTGGATTTGAACCTGAAACCTCTACACACTTTTAACTTTTAGAGCTCAAACTCAAACCAATCAGTGCACATCACCCTTGTGGTTTGATATAGAACTTTAGTTTATATGTTCTTGGGTTATTTATCTTTTATTGGGAACCAACTATGAAGCTTATATATGCTATTTGGGTCTTGGTAAATTCACAATACAATATCATCGTAAATAAAACAACCTATATAGTTGATTCTCTAATTACAAAATTTACGCAAGTTTCATAGGATAACACCCCATATACATCCAACTCACAAATGGGGTTTTATCATAACTAATATCAACATCAATTTATTCTACTAAACAATTATTATACATTATGCGAGCTCAATTGCTAATTGTGTTTTGCGTTTGGTTCCGATTAAAGAGAGCAACGTTTATATTGAAAGGAATTTGAAGGATCATTCGCGATTTGCCTGTCAATTGGAGCCTTGAAGTCATGTTTCAGTTTATGCAAGTATCGATCCCCCTTTTTTTGTCAACATTTATCTTTTTTTTCCCTTTTAACTTTTTTGTTTCCATTGTTGTCACATTTATCATTTGACATCGCCTACTAAGAATTGTTTGATGGATGCGATCGTCCCTTTAACCAATTAGAAAAAAGAACTCAGACAACCATTCTCAATAATAAACAGGTTAGGACTAGCTCGACTAGATTAATGGATGGACATAAGCAAATAAAAAATTGAATTTTAATAAAAAAATATAATTTTATAATTAAAATTTCAAAGAGCCTTCTAATTCCCAATTTAATTACTCTTTATCTAATGACCTCAAATCATTTGGTTGAAAAATTATGTATTTCAAATGATTTTACATATGATATTTTCTTTAGAAGTCTTCTTATGCTCACAGTGAGAGGCAAGTCCCATCTGGTTCTATCACACTGATCACAGTAAGAGGAAATTATAAAGCCTGAAGAAAAAAAATTTAGTTTATAAGGGTGACGACTCTTACCCGGGTAAACGCTTACCAGGTAAATTGTTGTATATGATACGTTTTGATGTATTATAATCTTACCCGATAAAATAAATTATAGTGTTAACTCTTAACGGTAAGCGCTTACCCGGGTAAGCGTTTAAGTAAACGGCGCCTAATTCTGCATTCCACAAACCCAAAGATTAATTACATATTGCTCCACAAATCACAAATTAATGTACATCTTTACATAACATAGCACTTCATTGGAGTCGAAAGATTTTTTTGTAACACATGCATGGATAAATTTGTTAGCCTGCTGATGCTATGTAAAATTTTCCATAATTAAGTTTGCTCTAATTTCTTCAAGAGAAATTTTGGTCTGGTGATCCTATTCTGGTGTGGTGATCACTCAAATAGGATCGTATGAATTCCAGAAAAAGGGAAGGATGAAATCATGAGTGAGTAATTTATTTTTTTATTGGAGCACAACTTGTAATCAAACAGAGACTTCAATCTGTTAGCAGATCACATTGTATATTAGGCTTAGTTTATTAGTCCGTATAGTATTTGGCCCATGGCCTATATGTTGTATATTTAAATGATTGTATTGTGTTTAATCAATCAAAGAAATCATTCTCTCTAATATAGTATCAAAGCTGTTAGCAGATCACATTGTATATTAGGCTTAGTCTATTAGCCCGTATAGTGTTTGGCCCATGCCCCTTTTTTGTATATTTAAATGATTGTATTGTGTTTAATCAATCAAGAAAATCATTCTCTTTAATATGGTATCAAAGCTGTTAGCAGATCACATTGTATATTAGGCTTAGTTTATTAGCCCGTATAGTGTTTGGCTCATGGCCCGTATGTTGTATATTTAAATGATTGTATTGTGTTTAATCAATCAAGGAAATCATTCTCTCTAATAGTATCCTCCCAAAAAGAATAGAACATATGCAAGGAGCAAAGAAACAACAATGAACAGTGGAAATTGATCATGCAATCTATGAGTCTAACATGAATCAATTTCTCAACAAAATTCTATTTCAGAACGAAGTTATTATATGCGTCTATGGGTTTAATCCAGAAACCTAAGCGTGTAGCTTACTTACCGATCAGTTTCCGTGCCTCTACCGAGTCAAAACTCAGAACGATCTGGAGCGGCAGCAATCAACATAGTGCCGGAAGTTTTAGCCGGCATCTCATCAAAAGGATCTCCATCGCCATCGTTTACATCCTCTGCTGGCATTGGCAGTGAAAGAACCTCGCGAATTCCATGAATCACAAACCAATCACTGTTATACATGTCCGGGAAAGTAATTGAAACTTCATTCACCTTAAACGTACCACCGGATCTATTAAGTTTGATCTTGAATCCGTCTAAATATGTATCAAAACTGGTTCCGTCATCGACATTAATGAGATCACTAAACGAAATCTTACAAGGCAACACATGCCGGAGAAACAGAGATGAATAATCGGGAAACCGACCAGAATAATCAATCATCACTTCATCAACAGGAGAGAAAACAGTCAATGTAGGTTGATTGAGAAATCCTACCAATTGCAGATTGAGAAATGAAGCCATCACGGAGTATCCTCTAGATATCAACACGTTAGCAGCATTGTGAAACGAGAAATTACTATAACCTCCAAACGATGCAGTACAATGATCGAAGCTAGGGCTTTGTAGTGGAGTATCCGGTATGGTGAAATTTGGATCGAAAAAGTTCTCGATACCATAGACAATCAGCGATCCATCATCAAAAATCGGAGATCCAAGGATTTTGACATTGTTTAACGAAAACTG